AGTGATGCAGGGGGTCTTCCAGCCTCACCTGGAGGCAGGCAAGGAATGGGGGAGGCTGACACCTTCACCCCCCACCCAAGAGGAGAGTTGCTTTCCTCTATCAGCCCTCCATCTGTTGCTTCTGCTGCTCCTTGCCTCTCCTGCCCTGGGAGCGGAGCCAGGTGCCATTTCCTCCCCATGCTTGGCTGCATCTTTGGCGGGAGAGAAATCCACTGCAGAGCCTGCAATGGATGATCCACTCCTCCCGAGCATTGCTTCCCTGCGAGCTGCCTTGCAGAGCCCATGGGGGGATGAGAGAGGGTCTCCCTCCAGCCAAGCTGTTGAGTGCTCTTCGAGTAGCCAGAGTAACTTTCATTTTTTGAGAGCCCGGCTGAAGTTTCTCGAGCCATTTCAGCAAGAGAGACAACAGTTTGCAGGGGGGCAATTTGACTCCAGCTGCTTCTCTTTGCACAACAGATGCGGCAGGACATTCCAGCCACCATGGGCCGGTCCCATATTCCAGAGCTGTAATCATCCCTATGGAGGAGCTGCTCTGGGATGACCAAAGGACCAGTCCTGTGACTTCTACAGCTCTGGAATATGGGACTAACTTTCCCACTGTCAGCAAGCCACCCCGGGGTGGATTTTCCTCCCCGGCCGTTTTGGTCTTGCCTTCCAATTCCAGCTTGCGTGGCTCTCTACTCAGTCTCAAGGTAAGTTTTGCAGTCGGCCAAAGGGTGGGGGCCAGCAGGTGGGCAGGCCATGTGGGCGGAGCAGCGTTGTTTTTCTGCATGGCCCAGATTAATTGCTTCCAGGGGCCATTCTGCAGACCACCAAAAATTTTCCATGGCCCACTGGTTGGTGACCACTGGCCTAGAAGATGAATTCAGAAGACTGGAAGAAGAACTACAAAGGGAACCACAGAAAAGAAGTTTAAAATAACAAATGGAATTAGTCAAACATAAACTGAACATTCTTGAAAAAGGAGAGCTAGCACAACAAATAAAAAGGAATAATCATTTTTTTTGAAAATGCTAATAAACGAAGGAGATGGCTAGCATATAAATTGACAAAACAAAAGGAAAAAAGCTGGATTAATAAACTGCAAAATGAGGAAGGAATTATGTGTTAACAAAGTGAAGAGAAGAACAATATAGTCCAAGATTTTTATAAGAAGTTATATAATGATAATGAATGCCCCATGGAAGAAAAGATATCACAGTGCTTGAAGAAAGCAAACCTGCCAAAAATCTCAGAAAGAAAAAGAAAAAAACCCAAATGTGGACATAAAAAGGCCAGAATTAATTTAAATATTGAAAAATCAGAAGAATAAAACGCCAGGCCCAAATTGGCTATCGGTAGAAATATATAAAGAATTTCAGGAACTATTAGCCCAAATATTACTAGAAGTGTTTAATGCAGTTTTAAAAGAAGCAAAAACACCAATATCACGGACCAAATATAGCATTTATGGTCTTAACAATGATTAAAAATGATAGACCCATATCATTTTTGAATTCAGATTATAAAATATTTATGGCAATAATTGCTGAAAGACTTAAAATATTTTTGAATGAAGTTATACATATAGACCAAAATGGATTTCTCCTGAAAAGACAAAATACGTAACAGCATGAGAATGATGTTGGACGTTTTGGAATACTATGAAGTTCATTGTGAAAAGCAAGGGGCAATGATATTCCTAGATGCACAAAAAGCCTTTGATAATGTAAATTGAAATGTCATGTTAAAAGTTAAATTATATGGATTTTGGTGAAAATTTTATTACTGTATTCAGAGCTACATATGTCAAATCAGAGGCAAGAGTCATAATAAATGGAGAAATGACACAATTAGAAATAGGCACAAGATTAGGAATTAGGAAAGGCACAAGACAAGGATGTCCGCCATCGTCGTTACTGTTCATATTAACTCTAGAAGTACTAACAAGAATAATTCAGAAAGATAAATTAGAGGACTAAATATTAAGAAAAAATTATAAACTACAGGCATTTTCAGATGACCTTGTATTTATTATAGAGGAATCACTACAATCAGGCCCAAGGCTTATGGAAGTACTGGAAGTACTGGAAGAGTATGAGGAAGTAGCTGGAAGTTTCAGTTGGTTCAAAATGCGACAGCCCACATGGTTTTGTACAAGCCTAGATTTGCATATGTCTTAATTTTTTTTGTGGGAGTGTGCTTTGACTGCCAATTTGCTGCTCGTTGCACCCTTTAAAGCCCTATCCTACATGGCTCAGGACCATGTTAAGTGAAGGTATGCTTCTCCGCTTACTCACACATACAAGTAGCTGTGATTTAGCGAGCTTATTAATATTCTCTAGCAATTCACTTCACACAAAGAAAACAGAACTAAACTGTCCCAATTAACTCCAGCCATAAGTAGACCAATGTTAGTCCACAGAGCAATGGCCAAAGTCTACAAAGCACTTGAAAGTTTCTCAAATAAAAAAAAAAATCCACCAGACAAACTTACATCCACAACACGAGAGCTCATGAGTCAAGAAATGTACAGAGTTTCAAAGACATGATACAAGTCAAGGCACAGTGTCAATGCAAAGTAATGCAGGAATTACAACCAGAAAACACACAGGAAACAAATATGACTCCCTCTGTCTGCAGTGCTAAATAGCCAGCTTTTTGGTGTAGCCATCAGAAAGGGCAAGACTTTCTTCTCTCAAGTAGTCTGGCTGATCTTTTCTGGTCCTGCCTTTTCCCCCTGCTTTACATGTTCTTGGATGAGGTACAGAAGACAGTTCCTCCTCCTCCTCCTCACTGGCTGTCTGCAACTGCATATTTTCCTCTGTCAAATTCCTTCCAGACAGCTGTTCTGAGCTATCAATTAACTCAGTTTTTCATGTGCTAAGAACCAATTCATCTTCCCCTGAGCCGACATCTAGAAAAGTAGCTAGGGAATTGTCCTGGGAAGTCATCACAGAACATCCTCCAGTCAGATCTACCTGAGCCATCAGAGTGGGGAGGCAGAAAACACTATGGGGCCCCTCTCCTAAGGAAGTCTATCTGGTGGGTGTAAGAAGAGCCTTTCCCACAATGGTCTTATCCCTTATCCACATCATCCCTGTAGGGATAAGATTGGCCCCTACTTTAACACTCTTTCACAAGACCATGAAGACATGGTGCTGTTAACTGGCCTGGAGATCCCAGGATGATAAGGAGCTCATTAAGTGATTTGTTTGATTGTTGTCGCTGGGAAGACAGAATGTTACTGCTTTTTGTATTGGAATTTTATTCTTGGAAGCTGCCTGGAATCATTGGGAGTGAATTGGGTGGCCATATACATTTTCTAAATAAATAAATAAATTAAATTATTCAGGATGTCAGCTGTTGACACATTGATCAGAAATTGATCTGATTACTATGAGTGTTAATGTAATGTCCTTCATTTCAAATCATGAACACCAAGTCTAGCATGTACCTCCCATGTGAACTGGGGCTGAAACCACAGTTTCTTTAGGCCCACCATGTTCCACCCTGGAGCAAGAAGGTTGAAATGCATCCAACACTAAAAGTTTGAAAACTCTACTACAGGCTCTGCTGTGAGAGAAAGGAGCTCAGGCATGATTTCTGCTAGACGGCAGGCTAGGTGATACATCAAAGTGAGTCCTAATTTGTCCCTGTAGCTCTGAATAAAGCTATTCACATTTGATCACTCTTGGTTTAGCATATCTAATAGTAGGCATGTTCTTTGGAATCCCTGTCATCATCTAACAAGCTAACACCCAAGAAGATAGGCTCAAGATCCAGATGGATCTTGACAGACTAGAACACTGGGCCATATCTAACAAAATAAAATTCAATGTAGAGAAAAGTAAAGTCCTACACTTAGGCAAGAAAAACCAAAAGTACACATATAGACTGGGTGAAACCAGGCTCAATAGCAGTAACTGTGAGAGGATATTGGAGTCTTAGTGGACAACCAGCTAAATATGAGCCAGCAGTGTGCAGCAGCAGCCAAAAAAGCTAATGCAATCCTAAATTAACAGGGGGATACAATCGAGATCAAGTGAGGTAGTAATACCACTCTATAAAGCCTTAGTAAGACCACACCTAGAGTACTGCATCCAATTTTGGTCACCACATTTTAAAAAAGATGTTGAGACTCTAGAAAAAGTGCAAAGAAGAAGAACCAGAATGATTAGGGAACTGGAGACTAAGGCATATGAAGAACGGTTACAGGAACTGGTCTTGGCTAGTCTAGTGAAGAGAAGGACCAGGGGACACATGATAAGAGTCTTCCAACATTTGAGGGCTGCCACAGAGAGGAAGGGGTCAATCTATTTGCCAAAGCACCTGTAGCTCAGACAAGGATGATGTAATGTATGGAAACTGAACAAGGAGAGATTTAACCTGGAAATAAGGAAAAAGAACAATCAACCAATGGAACAGCTTGTCCTCAGAAGTTGTGGAAGTTGTGCAATTTGTCAGAAATGGTGTAGGGTCTCCCGCTTGGGCGGGGGATTGGACTAGATGACTTTGGCTTTAATTATGACAGTTGTAGGATCTAAAACTTTGAAGGAAAGATCTTGGGTTATATTCCTTGCTAACTAAATCTCAGCAATACTTATTACATCTGTAGTAATGTACCACCAGATTGTGTCTTTTCTGTAGATTTATGATTTGTTCTATCTGCCTCATCCCTTTATACCAATACTATAGTCAGTTTGATTTCTGTATAATATGCTGATGTGCAGGTCTACAAATGTCATTTTGATAGCATTATACTTAAATTAATTGATTTTTTATGGCTCAGAGCAATTAACCTTACTGGTTCATATAGTTAATTAATGGTTTACTATGATAATGTGAACTAAGACATATAGTTAATTCAGGAAATCATGATTCAGTTAATGGGCAGTACAATATCCAATCAGCCAGTAAATGATATTCAGCTTTATTCCTTCAGTTGGTTTATTTGTTCCATAATTCCAGGGTTAATGGCCAAGTGTTACTTAATCCTATTTTTTGCATTTTCTTTTAAGATTGAAAACAATTAACCTGCCTTAGAAGCTACTGAATAATTGTAGAATATTCCTCAGATGCAGGTATGTTGTTTTAAAGATAATTTTAAGGTAGATATTAGCTAATTTTATATTATTTTATATTTTGTTGAGCATTTCCTCTTTTGTATTAGATTTGATTGTATGTTTAAAATAAGGACTTAATATTTGTTTGATGAATAAATGTATGATAGACTTGTATAGTGTGTATGCTGTTGTATTAGACCTGTTGAGACCTAGATTTAATCTGATCTTAGCCATGGAATTTTAGTAAGTAAATTTGGATCAGTCACTTCATAACAGTCTGGCAACAAAAAGTCTGCAAGCAAACAAGCTAAGGGACCAAGGACTCCATAGTTCAATCCTGAGCAACATACAGTATATTTATTCTCTTCTCTTGATCCTCTTTTTGGGGGTATTTCACTAGCAATTGTTGCAGTGAGAAAGATACTTCACTACTAAGACATGTGCTGCTTCTTTCCTCCAATATTCCATCCAATCCAACTTAAGTCATCAGCAGTAGGGACTTAAGCAGCTAAGAAACTACTGATCAGTATTATCTGGAATCATATTTTTTAAAATTATCCTGCTATAATATAAAACAGCACACTGGAAGCAGTCTCAAACATTTGAAATAACAGTATTTTGTTCTGTGCATAAAACAAAGCATAGTACAGGTAATACAGTCAGTTCTTTTAGTGATCAAAGTTGCAACGGCATGGAAAAAAGTGACCTATAACCATTTTTCACACATATGACCATTGCATCATCCCAAGGGTCATGTGACCAAAATCCAGCTGCTTGGCAATTGACTCACATTTATAACTGTTGCAGTGTCCCAGGGTCAGGTGATTCCTTTTGTGACCTTCTAATAAGCAAACTCAATGAGGAAGCCAGATTTGCTTAACAACCGTATCATTAAATTAACAACTACAGTGATTCACTTAACAACTGTGGCAAAAAAATGGGACAAAACTCACTTAACAATATTTCACTTAGCAACAGAAATTTGGAGCTTGATTGTTGTTGTAAGTCAACAACTACCAGCATTTATCTTTATCTTTCTTGAAATAAATTTTTTAAAACTTGGACGACTCCAAAAGTAGCAGGAAAATAGAGTGCACAGTAACTTCTGTTTTTCTGGTATTTTTTTCTATGTAGTTATAAGTATAATTTTGATATACTGGAGCAAAACTAGGATGTGGAAATAGGTGTACTTCAAGGTGGGTTATAGGGTTTATACTTTTTAAAATAATAATTAAATGTATCTGATAAAATTGATTATTAAGTTGGTGTATCTTCATTTAATGATATCATGTGCTATAAAAATAAATATTATTGGCCTATTTACAGTGATGGTTGGTTTGAAGGTGACTTAACCAAATTACATCTATAAAATATTTTTAAGCATTTAGATATATTGTTATAGATAAATTGCTTAATTTTGTTTAGAATGCTGATGTCCTGAAGTAAACTATGTTTTATGTCAAAATGTTGTTGCTTCTCTGCTTGATGGGATATATGTCTATGCCAGATGCATGAGTAGATTAATATAGATCTGTTGCACATGGTATGAAGAACAGAGAAAGAAAAATCCTTTTAAGAAAGTGAATTATAAAAAAGGTAGAATTAATGCACTAAACATGTTGAATGTACTGATAAACACCTTATTGCTACTTTTTATTATTAATTTAATGAGTTCCCCATTTATTGCCTCATCTGAATAATTGATGAAAATATTTAAGAGTACTGGGCCTAAGACAGTGCTTTAGGGTCCTCCTCTTCCCTCCATTTGATGCAATTTCATTAAGGATTACACATTGAGGTCAGTTAATCACCAGATGGATTCGTAACTGGCTGACCAAACACACTCAACATGTAGTCCTTAATGAAAATACATCTACATGGAGGGAGTATGCAGTGGGATACACCAACGTCTTAGACCCAGTACTCTTCAATAACTTCATCAATTATTCAGATGAGGCAATAAATGGGGAACTCATCAAATTTACACCAAGCTGACAAGAATAGCCAACACTCCACAAGATAGGCTTAAGATACAGAAGGATCTTGACAGACTTGAACACTAAGCCCTATTGAACAAAATGAAATTCAATGGTAAAAAAAGTATGGTTCTATATTTAGGCAAGAAAAACTAAATGCACAGGTATAGCATAAGTGGTATCTGTTCTGACCGAGGCTTCCCCAACAGCATGAAGCCAACTCCTCATTCTGATAACCCCCCCTTTATTTTAGTTTACATTGAATTCCTCTCCAGCCAACAGTCTTTCAAGATATTTCACAATTACAGATCTTTTATCAGGCTTGGAGTGTTGCCTGGCTGAAAATGAGTTGCATGAATTGTGAAAGCAGTTTCTTTTTTCAAATATTTCTTTTAAATCTATAATAAATAGAAAAAAAAGAAGAACTAAAAGAAAAAAAACAAGACAAACCAGAAAATCACTAAAGGGTAAAGATAATATAAACAGAAATGGAGATAATGAAATAAAATTATTACTTTAATTGATGTATTAACTGAAAAAAACTTATATTTCTCTAGTAGTTTACTGATTATTTAGAGCAGTATTAAATTATATTCTTGAATCTGTTTATTTAAAATTGATGTTGCATTTTTTCCTGGCATAATGTCCAATCTTAAAAACATAAGAACAGTTGAATATAGTATTTGATTTTTAGGAGGTTTCAAATGTATGGCATATAACTGTAGGAGATGAGCAAGTGAGGTCAAACAGTTTGGAAATGCTACGTTTTCACAAGTGGTCCAATCTCCCGTGAATCCTGTTGACCCTTATTCAATTTGGCTTGACTCTTAATAGGTTAGCATATTGTGTGTAGATTATATGTAATGAATTTATTGTACTTTGAACTCAACTCTTGTTCCTGGATACTTTTCCTGACAATCTGATTTACTCATCTAAATTTTCACTGACTACTGCAAAAACCATAGCATGATACCAGGTCCACAAGCTGGAGCAGCAGTAGAGAATTCAGAGATGGATACCCTCTACAGATGCCAAGATGGTTTGGGATCTAAAGTGCAAAATATAGCAGCTAATACACACCAGATGTTTCAACAGATGCAAAATTTAGCTCAACAATTTCCTCCTCCATTGCCTTCACAACACTGGTGCCAGCTTTTGATCCACTGCCGGTAGCCAATGTCCCACTGCAGAAGATCCCTAGCTGTCTACCTGAGTGATTTTCAGGAGACTCAAACAAGGTGAGAATATTTCTTGCCCAATATAAACTATTCATTGGCACCAGACCATAAAGTTTCAAATGGATATCCTTCATTCTCAGCCCATTCAACAATTGCAGCCTCTTGACAGGCACTCCCCATATTGAGCACAATTACCCGACCATGGATAACTATCAAGACTTCCTAGCACACTTTAGAAATAATTCAGGGATCCCATTAAAGAAGACACCATAACATGCATAATTCAAGAGCTCCAACAAAGCAGCCAGAGATTAAGACTCTATATTGAAGAATTCAAATTGTTTGCAGCAGATTTGAATTGGAATGAACTTTCCCTAATAACACAATAACACAATGCCTCAATGACAGAACTGAAAATGAACTCATCAGGCAGGGAGTTCGCCCAGACACTGGATCAAGTCTACAGAATCTGCAGTATAGTTGACTCAAATTTAAAAGAGATCAGGTTTGCTCCAAATGTCACAAGCTACCAGCTCCACAACTCCCATATCCAGACTTCAATCCCTTTACACGGATTGATGTTGATGAAGGGGTGAAAAATCTATGCAAATTGATGAAGCCAGAAAATTTCTAGATGCAAAAAAATGACAGAAATGCAGAAATTTACCACTCTGTTTCTACTATGGAGAATTGGGACACGTGGTCAAAGATTGCACTTCCAACCCACCCAGGAGAAGAGACAGGAGTTCCAACCATAGTTCCAATGAGAGCCATTTGGAATGCAAATCACAGAACAAGGGAAATGACAACAGCCCCTACTTACAATCTCATTGGAATCAAGGATGGACACAAACTTTCAATATCAGGTATAGCAAGTTAAATGCAAAATGATCCATTGGTCAGGAGTGGTATTTCCAGATTTATGGATCATTTTTTTTTTAATCTCATTCATAAATTTGTAGTCCTTTATCTGAATGATATTCTGATCTGTTCTGTGGGTATAAAGTCAAACCAGTTATCCAATTGAAAATGAAAGGAGTTAGATTTGCTTGGTGTCACACAACAATAATAAACATTTAAAGAGTTAAAGCAACTCTGCCTGTCAACCCCTATATCAGCAATTTGACCCATCAAAGAGATTCCTATTTCAGACAAATACTTAAGACTAGAAACCAGAGATGTTCTTGAACAAGAAGGTGTGGAAGGGGTAGAAATGCCTGTTGCTCTGCGTTTTTTTTCTCAAGAGCTTTGACTGCACCAGAATGGAATTATAGCATTTTTAACAAGGAGCTCCTAGTGGTTAAATCCATATTCGAACAATGGAGATTTTATCTCAATCAGTCAACTTATCATAGATACCTTCTGTTTTAACATCTTTATCAAATCTAGATTGTATTTGCAAATATGAAAACCAATTCACTTTTACACCTTGTTCTTCCAACGCTTACATAGATTTAAGTTCACCCTTTTCATTCAATATCTCACCACATCTAACTGTTTGTTCCTTTTTATATATTATTGGATAGGAAAAAGCTTCAATAGTAGATAACCATAGCGGAATTTTTAAATAATATTGCTTTTTTATCTTCTCCCAGTTTAGAAACAATGCTTCTTGAATATAATGTCTTCTAAAATACCCCTGCGTTTTAGTTCCCTTACACCAGAAGAAGGCATGCCATTCTAACTGCAAGTCATGTCCTTCTAAATTCAAAAGTCCAGTATTCCTTAGTGTTATCCACTCCTTTACCCACATCAGACTCATCGCTTGGTAGTATAATTCCCAATTGGGCAAAGCAAATCCTCCTCTTATTCTTGTATCTTGTAGCAATTTCAGTTTTATTCTCACTTTCTTCTCCTGCCAAAT